CTCTGCAGAATAGGGAATACCCATACGATTTTCAAACAAAAATAGCTGTTTCCAACCAATTAATCTTAAGCTCTGACCGTTATACAATGCAGAGCAATAAAAATACTTGGACTCTATATAAATGGTAGTTGACTTAAATCATGCCGCTGATCGGACGTGGAAATGGACAACAACAATAACAACGGGAATGGGAACGGGAACGGGAACTGAATAACGAAGTTATAAACGGACCATTGCGGGTTTAAAAAGCCGGCAACTCGATACAAATTAAATCGACTGCAAATTGTGTTAAGCGCGACAGTTGTGGCTGTGTGTGAAATGGAAACGCAGCCAGTGGAGGAGCCACATTAATGTTACCCAATCTGGACACATTACAGCTCCCAGGGGGTGGAGAGGGGGGTTGGGGAGGAGACGTCTACTCACCCTTGACTTCGATGCGGGCGGTGGCCTGGACACTGCCCAGACGATTGTGGGCCTCGCAACGATACGTGCCCGCCGTCAGTTGGCTGGGCTGGAGCAGGGCCAGGCTGCCGTTGGCCAGCAGCTGCAGCTGGGACGTGGACTGGGTCAGCTGGCGTCCATTGACGAACCATTGTATGTCTGGCTGTGGCCAGCCGCTGGCAGCGCAATCGAGCAGCACGTGCCCGACGCCATGCAGTGCCACAATTTGGTCGTGCGGCTGTTGAATGAAACGAGGTGGCGCTGGTGTCGCCTCCACATCCACATCCGCAGCTGCATCCACATCCGCATTCGCTGCCCACACCTGATTGCCGCTGGCGTTGTCCACGTGACCATGCAGGCTGTCCAAACTGTTGTCGGCATTGCTGCTAACCATTATGCGTACCGGCTGCGACTTGATCTCGCCCATTTCATTGCGCGCAATGCACTCGTAGATGCCAATGTCATTTGGGGCGACGCCGTTGATGCGCAATACGCCGCTCGGCAGGACCAGCATGTGCGGCGCCAGCTCCACACCGATTTCGTTGGTGTTCTGCATCCAGATGAGCTCCGGCTTGGGCTGGCCAACCACCGCGCAGGGCATGTCCACGGTCTCACCTTCGCTGGCATGCGTGTCCTGTGGCCCAACCAGCAATTGTGGCTTGGCTATGTTTAGGGATTGTAAAAATCAATATTCAATATTATGCTAAAATGACATTAGATTTTAACACAACTTAGCCAATATGCATTAAGCTTAAAGCTCTATTAAACATGTGCTTTTAAATAGTTGCTAAGTTTCTTTGCTTTGAATTTAAAAGGCCTTAGTTGATCTTAATTCATGTGCTTTCAAATGTATTGTTCTTTACTTTTTATCCTCTGTTATTATTTTTAAGCTTTCGTGTGCTTACAAAGCTGCTTAGATACCGATTTAATTAATTTAAAAAATATTTTGCTTTGGATCATTTTAAATGTTATACGTCCGCTTTAAATATTTCAAGAACTTTCACGTTGTGCTTTGCTGTCAATTGGCATGTCTGAAGTTTATTTTAATTCATGAAGAGCTTTTATGTGATTTCAAAATTATTATAATTTACTCTATTACTACTATTAGTTTAAGCTTCCATGTGCTTTCCAAGCTGTGTAAATACCTAAATAATCTATTTCATTGATTTGTTTTAAGCTATTTGAGCTGTTTTAATTGGGCTTTAAATTATTTAAGAGCTTTCACGTGCTTTAAGGCTGAGTACATAACTAATTGATTTACTATACTTTTTTAATTTTGTACTTTGTTTGTACTGCTTTCTAGAGCTTTAATGAGCTTTTAGGTTGTGTACAATGCTTATTGATTTATTATGTTATTTTATTGTTGTATTTGAGCTTTTCAGAAAAGCTTCTTTGCGCTATTAAGTTATAAAGTCATGAGATCCAAGTTCTACTCATGTATATCAACTATGTGTTTTTAAAACATTGTGGCTAGAGCTGATTAAGTTTTAAAAGGCTTCTCTAACTTATAAAGCTTTCAAATTTTATTGGTAAAGCGCCGATTTCAGCTCGTGTCATACTTACCGCAATGGAAATGCAACTCCGTGAGGCTGGAGAAACTCAGACGCTGCAAGGCGGCAGGCTGTGCACAGGACAACGTGATGCTCATCAGTTGACGCTGTGCGTCCAGATTCCAGCGACGCCAGAGCGAGTAGACACCGCAATTGCAATCAATCGGGTTGCCATCCAAACGCAAACGCTTCAGGCTATGCAATTTGTTGAACATATCCAGCGGTAGACTGCTCAGCTTGTTGTTATGCAGAAAGCTGCAAGGGCCAAGAAAAATAAAGGAAACCTTCGACGAAAATCACGCAATTAACGAAACTTACAGTCGATGCAAATGGGGTAAATTGTCAAAGAGACCAGCGGGCAGTTGCCAAATGTCATTGTCTTCCAGATAGCTAAGGATGGATAAAAAACAATAAAAGTTGAAGTCAACGTGGCGTATACGCGATTTTTTAATTAAACTTGAACTCAAAGTGTGCTCCACTATCTACTTACAGCGCCTCCAATCTCGGCAAATGCTGAAAGATGCCGGCGGGTAAGCGGCTCAGCTGATTCTTGTTCAAATAGAGGAACCGCAACGCCGTCAGCCCCTTGAAGGCATCCTCGTGCACATAAGCCAGCTGGTTGTCATTCAGGAAGAGCGTCGTCAGTTGGCCAAGTCCATTGAATGCTGTCGGAGGCAGCTCCTCAAACTGATTGAAGCGCAAATCTCTGCAAAACGACAGCAATGAGACAAAAGGGCAAAAAAAGGACACATAATAGAGCTGAGTGGGGGGTTTTTTTTTGTTTGTGTGTGGGGTGAATTGCATTCCACTTTTTGCAAATTCCATTTTGCTTGCCGCAATTTGCTGCAAGTTGTTCCCTGGTCGGACATGTGTCATGGCCAGCGTGTTTGTGTGTGTTTGTGTGTGAATCTGTGTAACTGGGTGTAACAATTAGTGCGTTACTTGAGCACACAATCAACACTAAGGGGCGTGGCACAAATGCTGAAATACTCGAAAACTCGAGAATAAATTGAAAGAAAAAATGTCCTTTGAAGTGTCGAACAAAAGCAAATATGGACAAGAAGGGACAAAAGTGGTCAATAAATTGGGTTTAAATATATACGAATACCCAATTAGAAACTTGGATGCATAACAAATATTCAATTTTTAATTATAGCTAACAGGCACAATACTTGTTAGAGGAACTATACAGGTGACTCGGTTCGGTTTCTAGCTTATGTATGTAGCATTGTCGACTATTCTAAATAATTAACAGTTTATATTGCATTGCATTGTTAATTAAAAGGCCGGCAAAAATCCTCTAACTGAACCCTCCACGAGGGTGCTGGCTGGGCAATGGACACAGCAGTTGCCTACCCTAACATACCCAAAGGTAACGCTGTGTCTAGCGAAGGTTCTGGTGAAGCACTCTCCGGCGGCTTTGGCAAGTCGGAGATACGTTAATCAGACCGTGGTTAAGAGGTGCCTGGCGGCAGGCTAAAAACGCATGTTGTACTTTAATGTATAAAAAAATTAATATATGGAGGCTTAGAAGAGGGACCCTCGAACTGGGCTATCAGCCCAAGTGGCGAGGGAATGCATTGAACATTTCAGTGGCAATCTAATAAAGTGGGCAACATACACAACATCCTTTCTATCGAGAAATCTCTTGCAAAGTCCCTAAACATCCTTTGTGAATGTGCAGCATTTACTTGGGATACGAGGAAGCATCTGAACAAAGAGTTCGTCTGCCCAGCTCAGGTAAGTGCTTCCTCAGCACAGCTGTCTCTTTCTTTGGTGAGTAACCCCTTTAATTTATTATGATTATGCATATTTTATATTATTATTATTATTATTATTATTATTGTTACTTTTATAACCTGAGCCCATTCAAAATGGATAAGAAGCGTTAAATAGTGGTATGAACAGGCACAATAATGCATCTCCGATTCTACTCTTTATAGTATATATATTCTTGGTCGGCATCAATAGTCAAGTCGATTTAGCCCTATCCGACTATCTGTCCGTCCGTCCGTCCGTCCGTCCGTCTCGCCGTCTTTCTGTATAAACGTGTTGATCTAAGATCCTTTAAGAGCTGAAAACTTGATTATTTGAATGTAGGTCGTCCTAGTATTCGCACAGTTGCTTGTTAACGATAATCGATAACTCTGCTCATTTCCAAGCAATCGATAAAAGTTGATATCGATATATTATTATATCATTTCAATGATTATACACGCAATTTCCTTCAGAAACTTTTTCTGCTGTTAATATACATTTCACATTATGAAAGCTCAGTTATTTAAGGCATGGGCTTTATAATCTGTTTGTAGCTTCTCCGTGTTGCGAAAGGCAAAGTAAATACTCATTTAGAAAACATTTTACACACATTAAAAATTAATTAGGAAAAGTTGTGTGCCGTAGTTTTTATGCTTAGCGACAGCCCAACCAAGCGATAAGCCACACACGCAGAAACATGCCAACAATTACACACACACACACACACACACACACTTGGACACACATAGGGGCTAACCCACAAACGGATCTCCCACATATGTTCGCGATTCGCGACCTCCTAAACTTGCCGCCTAATGGAAACAAGTGAGCGACGCGGCAAAGCTAACGACAACAGCGGCAGCAGCAGCAGTAGGAGCAGTAACAGTAGCAGTAGGAGTAGTAGCAGTAGCAGTAGCAGTAGCAGTAGCCGTAGGAGCAGCAGCTGAAAAAACTTTCTAATCAACTCTTGGAGTTTGCAGTGCAAACAACAACAACAACAACAAAAACAACCGCTGTAAGTTGAGCAACAACAACAACTCGTTAGGGCGCAAATTCAATGCGGCAGCAACAACAACAAGCATACCACCAAAAAAGACAAAACCAAGTGGTAACCGTTAGCAACTTTGAGGCATGCATGACAGTTGGATACCCTGCTCAAAACAAAAACTCTGCACAGAGTGAAAAAATCGACAAAGTAATCAGCTTTCATCGCAAAAATTTGTTCCTGACTGAAATTTTTTCCCAGTATTTCAAGTAGGCCGCGAAAATTGGATTCAAGTTTTTTCTGTTGTGTTTTTCACTTTCATGAAGCTATAAGAACGAAAGAGCCCCAATTTACGATCGACGATAGGTAAGTGTTCTTAATTTTGCATTAAAATAATACATATATATTCGCAACTAAGCACAATCTGTGCTTAAAACAAACCCAGCTTAAGCTTAAATAAAAATGTATCTTAATCTTGACTCTAGACCATATTGAACCTGCTGTAAGATTCATTTATCCTGGACTTAAATTGTTTGCAAATTGCAACCACATTTAAGATTTAAAAAATTGTTCCATTTAAATTAAGCAAAATTATGTTTCGAATCATAATTGTGGTTCATTGATGTGGCAAACCAGATTCACGGAACGAACCAGAAGTTCTGAGCTACTGAACATATTCATTTTCAGCAGATATTTTGATATGAATATGCATCAAAATTGTAATAAAAGAAAAAAGTATTCAATTTTCAAACTATATGCAATTTATAACAGGCAGCAACAGCACGTTGTTAGCATAAAAGTTTGCTCCGAACGAAACTCAAAGTGAAAATTATACCAAGGTGGCAACGCCATGCGCTGGCCAGCTTCAGTTACCGTTAGCTACGGTTGCACCCAGTTGCCGTTACGGCTGTAACTGTTGTTGCCTCTGCTGCTGCTGCTGTTGCCAGCGATAATTATAGCACAGGTTTTTGGCCAGGAGCAGAAGGAGCCAGGAGCCGGGAGCAACTGGAGCTGTAGCCACAGTTTAGTCCTCGTTGTCTAAACAAAAATTATGTTTTGTGGCTACTGCAAACATGCAACGCACGGAGTGCAACAACAACAACAGCAACAACGAGTAGCTAACCCTAATTGGTGTCAGCGTTCAGTGCGTGGTTGTTCGGGTGTGCGTGTGTGTCTGTGTGTTAAGTGCATATGTTTCATGTGTGTGTAAATTGCAACTAAAGACGAACAAAAAAAAAATGGCAACACAAACAACGCACGACAACGAAAACAACTTAAAAATCCAGAACAACACTAAAACCACTCACACGTACAGCTTGAGGGCTTCCACACACACACGCACACACACATGGGCACAGACAGTGACACACACACTTATACACACGGCGCCCAAATGTTGGCACATAAACAAAGGCGCTGCCTCTGTCAACGTCAACGTCGCTGCTCTACGGCTTGGCCCGGACCCAGACCCGGACCCGTGCTGGTCGGTTCCTGTGAAAAGAACCAAGCCCTCGGGCCGCTTCTGTGTGCTGCATGCCGCATGCCGCATGCCGCTGCCACTGTGCCCCAACATGGCAACCGCATGCACATTGCGGCCTCTGCTTGGCCTGAGGATGCTTTAACGGGGCGACAGGGTAGACAGGGCGGACAGGGAGCGACAGGGTGGAAGGTAGTTTGCAATGCAACAACGACAACGATTTGTAAGTTGGCTCTGTGCATATCCTGCATGGCCCGGCAATGCCAGCGCGGTTGAACGAGATGCCTTTGTGCGCATACGAAGGCAGCTTGATCCACTTTTTTCTTTTGCCCAACTCTTGCAACTCCATTAGCCCCACAAGAGAGAGTCAACAACTCGCTGTGTGCTGCTCAGTTCCAACTCCACAAGTGACAGCAGCCTGAGTGATAGAGTGTCAGAGGAGCTGGCTACTCTACCGGCTAAGCTGCGTAAATATCTTGAGACAGTAGATCGAATAATTACAGATCTACGGAGTGCTACAAAAGTAGAGCAGTAGTAGGAGTAAAGTATACGACATATTAGCAGATGTGAGTCCTCATTTAAATTACAACTAATTTAAGATTTAAAAACCTTATTTATAAATTAACTTCAGGTTATATTATAACGTTTATATATTCATTTGCCAACACTGAACTGACTCTCAAGCAACAGTTTTTACTTGACAGTGCTGCCAGTTGGGTACAGCTTGTGCAATGTGGCAACGCTGCAGTGCAATGTAATGTAACCACATAATAAGCAAATGGGTAATTGGCAGCACTGTCAAGTATTTTATTTCCCTTTGAACACAGTTGCGCCAATTTGAGTTCAGTGTTGAAAAGTGATTGTTATAAACGTTACAATGTAAGTACTTACTACCATAACCTCTTTAAACAAAATCGTTTTCATGGCTGCGGCAGCACTTATTCAACTCATCTGCAGGAAAGGACTTCTTCAAAAGTTTCTCTAAACCAACCAAAGAGCTCTAATTAAAGTGTTAACTGATTTTAAAACAATTTAAATTTCCTTTGAATTGATAAAGTTATAATTAAGATGATTTAGCCTGCTTGACTTTCCTTTTACTGCTCGTGCTCTTGTTTTGTTTCCCTATCTTTATTTTGATAAAATTGTACTTGATATTTGAAACTCGTCAATAATAGTTTATATAGTTAACTGTTTAGTTACGTATTTGCTTTTAGCTCTAACTTTTGCAAAAGACAAGAAGCTCTTGTGTCAACTAGCTTATTGACTTTTTGAAATAGTAAACCAGACAGCAAATTTAAAATTCTATTCGCAAGTTTCAGAGCCACTGTGCACTGATTTTTTATATGTCCCCAGCTGCTGCTCCTACTAACCCCCCCCCCCCTCTCTCTCTCTCTCTCTGTCTCTCTGTCTCTGTCTCTCTATCTCTCTCTCTGTTTCCCTGTCTTTGCTGGCGCTGCTCCCAATGCCCTTTTGGACGTGTGACAAACGATGGTCCACTCAATGCACATACAAAAGAGCGTGAGTCCTGTTTCTGAGCCTAGTCAGCAGCTGCCATTGCTTCTGCTCCTTTTGCTGCTATCTATGCGTGTGTTTGCATATGTGTGTGTGTGCGTGTGTGTGTCCGTGTGGGTGTGCGTTTTGTGCCAGTTGCAGGCGGCATAGTTGCGTGTCAGTTGCGCAACTATTTGTCGAGCTTCAGTCCGAGCTAAAAAAAAAAAAAAAGGACAGCTCCAAAGACTCTTACTACCCATTTCGTGCCGTACTCAAAGCTGACCCGGAACGCAGCATCATTTCAATCAGCAGGCAGTCGCACTTAAGCTCATCGAGCCACATCTCGTCGCCGTTGCAAGAAAAAGCATTTTTTGTGCCTGGCCAACAGCAGACTTCAAAGTGATTTTCGTTAATAGCAGGTTTTCCTTTTTGTTTTATTTGGCTTTTCAAATTTCCAATTAAATTTATGCGCATACACAGAAAACACGCATACGCCATGTTGGCCAGCATTTCCGTCCTCCTGCCCCAGCGCACATCCTGTGTCTCATGCTGTCCATCAGGCATCTATGTCTGCACTTAATTAATGCATATTATTGACAAAAGCATAGCTTGTTCGAATATGTTTGTCTATTCACGCATGCATGCACTCACACGTATGCATGCACACATACAGACATGCAATTGTTACGTATACGCTTTGATGTCCGTGCAGAGGGAATTTATGGTTCACCCACAAAACTGGAGCCAAACGTTGTGTTTCGAGCCACAGCCAGACAGTAAATTCTATGAAAACAATTATTAGTGTATAGCTAACGGGTTAACCAACACTTGTATGAGTACGACCCCCTTTCCCCCCAACTGTGGGCGTGGCTCGGTTTAGGTGCGGCAGAGCAGCTTGCAAAACGTGTCGCGTGGCTTTACAAATTTGATTTCAATTAGTTGTCCAAATTAGTGAGGCAAAACCGCAGCAACTAAATTACTGAATACGAATTTCGATTTGAATCAGTGTTAACAACTGACGCTTCAAAAAAGTAACTGAATCGGATGAAAAAATAAATTATAAAAATATACATTTAACTAGCTTAACTATGTAATAGTCTTTTAGTTGTATCTGTTTCTTTATTAATTTCCCAACTTAGTATCAGAGTTCATTTACGCACATCCATCTTTTATCAACTCTGCGCAAAAAGTGACTCTTCTCCTCTTCTCAACACTGTCAGTCTAGTGATGAGTAAATAGCTAAGATCATTAACATTTATGCAAATCGAATTTACTACTATATCATATAGCTTCCATTGGAGCGATTGATCTAAAATAAAGTTGTATGAAAAAAGTTTTGTTTTGTGCTTGTGCTTAGATACTGGAGAATCATTATGAGCATTATGAAAAGGTTGTGTCTGCACGGGTATAAAGTCTTTGGCTTGAAGAAGATAGCCTTTATTTCTCGTCTTATTTATAAAAGTTTTGACAACATTTTCTTTGCGGATATTTATAAGCTTTTGTATTTTTTAAATGCACTTTCTGCCTAAGTTATTACGCTCTAGGAGTTAACAATCATTTTCTTACAATTTTAAATAAAAATAGAACAAATGGGAGTTTCAAAATTTGTTGTATATAACCTGTTAGTCTTACTATTATTCGTCGATCAGTCAGTCCCAGGTGATGACCAGTTGTGGAACTGCAGCACAGACATTGAATTTGCTTCGAGCAAAAGGAGCTGCCATACTCTCGACCAGCGGCGCTCACCTGCGAGCGTGGATGGCTTTTCCAATGAGATAACCACGGCACCCTCGGACATGTCCCAAGTCCATGTTCGAGCTGATGAGCCTGCAGCCCGGACACAGAGCGACAACTCTAACCAAAACTCAAGCAACTTTGATGAGGACAATGGTAAATTCCACTTTCTAGTAACCGGCGGCTATCGACCCGAACAGGATGACCTGGTAAAATTTTTAGTTTCGATACGAAGTATCCAATCGTATAAATTCTTTGGTGACGACCATTTTTGTGGCGGCTGTTTAATATCTAAGAAAGATGTTTTAACAGCAGCCCATTGTCTGTTTGATAGGTATGTCGTCACGGTTACTAAAAGCACTTCACATCTAATTCTGACATTGCAGTAGCCAAACGGTTCTACATAGAAAAAAATTAAGGGTAGTTGCCGGTACACCGCGTCGCCTATTGAAGACAAGTAGCACCCAAGAATTAAAAGTGAGAAAGGTCAGGCCGCATCCAGAGTACTCCGCTTATACAATGGCCAATGATATTGCCCTTTTGCGTCTCAAAGGCGAGGTGCAGCCAGATGGAAGTTTTGTCGCTATTATACCCCTATCTGACAAGTATCCTTCGGCTGGATTGAAGTGCACAGCCATTGGGTGGGGTGCTATTTTTGAGGTAAGTCTCCAAACGGAAAATATGAAAATTCTGAGCTCCTTTTTACATGGATATTACAAATAAGATCAGAATGAGAGAATTGAGAGATGACTCCCTATAGCAAATTTATCGGCAATAAGCAGACTAATATCTGATTCTCATTAACATCTGCATTTCCAGAATGGCCCATTACCCGACGAAGCAGTCAGCGGCGATTTGACTATCCTTCCAAATGAGCATTGCTATACATTTAGCGATCTTGAAGGCATGATATGTGCCTCGAACCCAATAGAATACGAAGTGGACGCCTGCCAGGGCGATTCGGGTGGACCGCTAATTTGCGCAGGAAATGTGGTGGGCGTTGTCTCCTTTGGCGCCGGCTGTGGTAGACCGAATTCCGCCGGCTTTTACGCCGATGTGCACTACCATCGCAATTGGATAGAGCGTAATGCAGCAACGTGCCCATTGGCGTCCTGGTTTCCGCTTCCACTGATCACGCTGGCAATGCAAGCTCTGCGAGCTCAGTGTCTTGGAATCAATCAGCTTTAAGGACCTCTTTAAATGCGATTCTGAGTTGTACTCTGGTAAATATGAAAATTCTGAGCACACCTTGGTGAAAGCGTTGGCTAAGTAGCCCGCTGTATAATGACGTCCAACCCGAATGACATAGTAGCCAGTGCTATTTAAGCTTTAGGTTGATGTAAATCGCCACTAAACTAACTACGGGTGCCTGCTTGTGGAAAATTTGTTCATTCATTTCCATCCAGGATAAATTTAAAATTTCAGCTTGACTTTCCATAATACAGGAATCTGATTTAAAATAAAGTTTTACGTGGATATTACAAATAAGATCAGAATGGGAGAATTGAGAGATGTATTTATAATTGTTTCCCAATAGTAAATTTAACGGCAATATGCAAAATATCTGATTGTCATGAAAATCTGCATTCCTAGTACGGCGAGGCAGTCAGCGGTGATTTGACTATCCTTTCAAGTGAGTAAGCAATGCAGCAAGGTTGTGTTGTGTGTGTGTGTGGGCGAGTGTGTGTTAGTGTATGCATGCATGCATGTATGCATTTATGTATGTATGTATGCATGCATGTTCAATTTCTAATAACAAACGCAGACCATATTGTCGCTGTGCTGCAAATTTAAATAAAACGAAATTCTGCCAAGCACTCGCCTCCTCGATTCTCAAAAATTCAAGTAGGCCTTGCTGAAATTCAGCGGCCTTTGGAGGCGCAACTTTTGGCGGTGGAGCAGGAGGCGGTGGCGCAGTAGAAGGTTGGGCGGTAAGTAGATATGTATGTACATATATGTATGTATGTAGATGTATGTATGTAGATGTATGTATCTACATGTATGTATGTGTGTATGTATGTATGTATGTATATGTATGTATGTATATGTATGTATGTATGTATGTATGTATGTATGTATGTATGTACATATGTATGTATGTATGTATGTATGTATGTATATATATATGTATGTATGTATGTATGTATGTATGTATGTATGTATGTATGTATGTATGTATGTATGTATGTATGTATGTATGTATGTATGTATGTATGTATGTATGTATGTATGTATGTATTTATGTATGTATTTATGTATGTATGTATGTATGTATGTATGTATGTATGTATGTATGTATATATGTATATATGTATGTATGTATTTATTTATGTATGTATGTATGTATTTATGTATGTATGTATGTGTGCATGTATGTAGGCATCATGGCATGTATTCATACAAGTACGCTTGCATGCATGTTTGCACATATACAAAATAAACATGCATACATGTGAGACATTAAGACTACGACCAACAAATCTTTGAATCGCATTTCTTCTGAGGAAGTTTGTATAATGCGAAAAGTGTGAAACATGTCTCAAGTGATTTTTCGTATAGAATTTTTAGAAACGTTTTTCGCGATTTTTCGACACATGCGAGTGGAATTTCCCGAAAGCTTTACTCGATTGCAAATTCATTTTAAGGATATACTAGATGCAATTTAATTTAAGTCCGTTTACTATACTTATTTAATCCATTTTCCAACACCACTTACCAACATGAAGCTTAACCAGCTTACGAATCTATTTTATGGCATTTTTACTAGTTACAATCGAATTTAAGTCTTCCGCATTCTTAGCCAGCCTTCACATCCTTTCTCAACATTCTAAATCTAAACGCGGCATCCTTTCAAATCTGACATGAGTTTAACTTGCCAGCTGCTGTTGGTTTTGTCATTAAGTCCGTAAATGGCTTTCATTGGTGTAGACTCTTTATTTTCTCGCAGATTTCCAGCAGCTGCACTATGTATGCACATGTGTGTACGCATGCATGTGTGTCTGTGTGTACATGCATTTATCTTTCGCTTCTGTGCGCCGCGAAGTATGCAACAGCACAAAAACCTATAAATATGCGCCTTTTATTTGCCCAGGCTAAGCACGCAGCGCCTCCTGCGATGCTTAATTTCCCTCAGACCGCGCACCCCCCTCTACTCGGCTGTGTTCTTATCTGTACGATCGCTGGCTGGGCGTGGCACGTAGCTCGCCACCGCCCAACCCTACCCCATGTAAGCTCGTGCAAAGACACGACTCATGTTTCGTTGTTAAGGTGAATTTGCCATTGTTGTTGGCTTCGCTGCAGCCGCCATTGCTGTTGTCTTTGATTATGATTTGTCTGGCTTACACACAGCTCATCCACACACACACACACACACACATAGACACACACGAGCATCGACTTAGGCAGGCTCTTATGACGCGCCTTCACTGTGTTACTTTTCCCTGGGCTGCCTTTATGGCAAATGTGACAATAAAAACAAGATTTAACTTTGGCTTGGCCAACGACAAACAGCCCGAGCACAAGCATACCCACACCCACAACACACACACTCATACATACACTCACATAGACACACACTCACACAGACGCACGTTGCACACATTATTGTCATAACATGGCTTACAAACACGCAAATAACAAGCAGCATCAGCAACAGCCCCAACAACAACAACAACAACAGCAGCAATAAAAGCAAATGCGTTGGCACAGGTCGTGTGTGTATGCAGGGCCAGAAGATACCCTAGAGGGGTATTTAAATAAGCGCATATCATTTCTAGCCAAAAGTATTTAAAAAATGTACGCTGTAGTTCATGCAAAGAAAATGTGCAATTTACATGAAGTTGGCTGCGCCCATTTGGCATTTCTCTCATTACTCGTTGAATTTGTGACAGTGTGGCCACATTTAACGAATCTCAATATGGCTACTCTAATTTTTGCCCAGAAACTTTTAGTTATATGCAGCCACACTGAGCATATTAAATAAGAAAATATGGCAAATTAGTAGTAAAATCAAAATGCATCGAACTAATTCCAACCGTTTACCGAACCTTTGTCAGATTTTTGTTGGCTAGCAGGCCTGGCTTTAAGCACAGCATACCCAGTTAGCATTTGCGCACAGGCCATGTCAGCCATAACAATAATAACCCGGCGGCAAAGGCATTTTGCATCCTGCCAGCACAACCTGAGCCTGTTCGGTTGCCCAGGTGATTTCTGGCTGACAGGCGATAGTCAAACGAAGACTCATGACAATTGCCAACTGCAGCTGCATGTGTGTGTGCGGGTGTGTGTGTGTGTGAAGTGTGTGCCTGCCATAAGCTGCAGCTGCAGTCGAGACACTTGGTAATGTAATTCGCAACCCTGCAACCCACAATGTATTTTATTTTTGTGTGTTGCTGGCGTTTTATTATTATAAAACAAAAGCCACCGTCGACCGCCTGCTGCAGTCGCTCTTGACGCTGCTTGACATTGTTTACCTGTTTCGTTAGCTTGTGCGAAAGTTCTGGCTGTCAGTCAGGCAGTCACTTTGTCACTCGGCCAGTTCCCTGCCCCTGGCTGACAGCCCTAAGACGGCATTTCTCTCTCTCTCCCTCTCTCCCTCTCTCTCTCTTTCAGTCAGCTGCAGTTGCACCGAATTCTAGCTGGGCTTAGTTTTCAGCTGCAGCTCGTATTCAATTTGATTCGGTTGCTTACTTTACGCACACACACACACACACACGCACGGACACTTATGCGTGCATGTGTGTGAACTGTTAATGTAATTGTGTCCAATCCAGGTATTTGTTGTTGCTTATTTCGGGTACTTAGAGCACTTTGCGTAATTGCCTTCGAGTTGCTGCATGCATAAAATGCTTTGCCCAAAAGTATTTCAAAGTACTCGTTCGAATTGCATTCGGCTTGTTTAGCCTAATTTGCACAGCTCAAAACTATTCAAAAGCTGAAGCTCAACTTTTGAGTGCTTCTCTTCTGCCACATACAACAGATTACCTGTCGGTTTCGTGGTATTTTCCCAAAAGTAAATTCAAGCAGACTTTAGACAAACCAGTGCCAAAAATGCTGTCAAGCATTTTGACCGAAGACTGTGGCAAATATCTTCTTTTCAAATTTAGATGCACAAATATAAAAGCCAAGCCAAGCCAAGCCAGGGTCAAAATGCGAAAATTAATTGAGTTTTGCTGAGACTTTTAAGTTTTAACTATGAATTTATAATTGTTTGTGCATTTGTTGAAAAAGAAACTCTTAACTTTTTGTTTTAAGATTTAAATACAGAATCCACAGCCTTAGCTCCGGCCCAAATGGTATTCCTCATAAAAAGCCACTAATTTTTGCCATAATTTAGAGAGGTTGTTTTCCGGCAATAACTTTAACTGTGATTTCGAGTCTATTGTAATTTTGACCAAGAAGAATATTGGCAGATTTAGATGCCAAATTGATCTAGAAGCCAACGCATGAAAGCAGAACCTAGCCTTATAAAAATCGGTTGAGTTTTGACCGATTTATGGGAGTGTAAAATTTCGACCTATGTCTATATAGGATATCTGACAATTTTCTCAATAATTTTGACTAAGAAAAATGTTGCTAGATATAAATGCCAAATTGATCTAGAGGTCAAACCATTAAAAAAAAACGGTTGAGTTTTAGCCGAGTTAATTTTTGCCAAAAGTCATAAGTTCGAATATGTTACATAAATCTGATGCATAAAACCTTTTTGATTTAAATTAAAATCAAGCCGAGCCCAAGTGTGATCTTGCATGAAAATCATTCGAGTTTTGTAGAAGATATTTGCGTTTAAAATGTGGAAGAGGCATCTCATCCCATGGAAATTGAATCAGTTTGGACAATAATCTGTATATATTTAATACTTTGTATTTATTCAGCTTCGTTGCCTTTGAATTATTTTAAAACAATGCAAAGCCTTTGGCTTAAACGCACATCTAATCTTAACTTAAATTTATTGCACACACACAGTGCCATTAAAACGCGTATTTCAATCAAAAGTTTTTTGTGAAAAATCAAATAACAGAAAGAAATGCAATAAAAACGTTTTCGCCATGAGAGCTTGGCATAATATTCGCCTTTTATACGCATATTAAACAGTTTCCAATTGAATGGAGCGCCTGATTTCGCTGCATTTTCATATTATTTTCTTTTATACATATATGAATGCGCATGCATGTTGCTATGTGTGTGTG